TGTCAGAGACAGTGCAATTGGCACAGGACAGAACAGAGTTTAGTGCTGTTGTACATAGGGTCGCTATGAGTTGCAAGCAGCTCGATGGCACATAACAATAATTTCTGTAGTCTCTTGGATCTCTTTCTTGCATATAGGAACAAAGAAGGATTTATTCCAGTCAGTTGGCCAGGGAGCTGTGTTCCATATTTTCTGGCATAGTGAATGTGTCCAGGGATGCATCCATTAGTTGAAACACATCAATTGGTATCCCATCAGTTACTGGGCCTTATTTTTTTGCCATTGCCTTCAATGCAGCTCAAATGTCACCACCATTGGCTCTTTTTCATATACTACTTCCTGAAAAATTTCTGTGTCTACCAATTCTTTTTGTACAGTAACTCAACGTATTCCCTCCCTCTTCTTTTGATGCTTCCTGGGTCATTCAAAATTGTTTCTATAGCATTTCTCAGTATCACAACTCAAGGCTTGAATTTGTTTCCTTCAGTTTGAGAAATGCCAAGCAAATTCTTCACTTTTTATTCTCCAACTCCAGCCTCTTGCATATTCCATTATAATACTTTCTTTGTCTTCTCAAAATGCCCTTTGAAATCTGCTCAGCTCTTTTAATTCATTATCTCTTCCTTTTGTTTAAGACTTCTTGACATTTTCATGCTATTTTCAGGGTCTCTTGTGAATTCACTTTTGTCTTTTCTTTCTCCTTAATTTTTATAGTGAACTTTTGCCCTCTTCATGAATGATATCCTTCATATCATCCCACAGTTAATTTGGTTTTTGATCCTTAGTGTTCAGTGCTTCAGAGGGATTATTCACGTGATTATCTTTTTTAAATTTGGGTGGGACAGACTCAAGGCCATATTTTGACTCTTGGGGGCTTATTTTTATTTTCTTCAACTTCAGTTTTAACTTGCACATAAGAAATTGATGGCATGCTCACAGTGTGGGTTTGACTTTTGATATTGAGCTTCTCCAGCAATTCTTTCCACAGATGTAGTAAATCTGATTTCTAATCAGTCTATCAGGTAAAGGCATTGTGGATAGACACCATGTGTATTTCTTTAAAAAGGTGTTTGCTATGAATAAATCATCAAATGTACAAAATTCAGTCATTCGTTCTCCAGCCTCATTTTTCTCCTCAAATCCATGATTTCCATCTCAGAGCACTGGATCGTGCTTATGTGAAACCTATATTTGGACCAAGAAGCAGTCCTCAGAATACAGCAAGGAAGTACTGCATGATTCAAAATGAGGCAGGGAGTGTGTCAGGGATGCATACTGTCCCCATACCTTTTCAATGTTTATGCAGAACAGATCATTCAGGAGGCAGGGCTTTATGAGGAGGAGTGTGACATCAAGATTGGAGGAAGACTCATTAACAACCTGCGATATGCAGATGACACAACCATGCTTGCTGAAACTGAAGAAGACCTGAATCACTTCCTGCAAAAGGTCAAGGACTATAGGCTTCAATATGGATTGAAGCTTAGCATCAGGAAGACTAAGATGCTCACCACAGAGCCAATTGGCAGCACCATAATAGAGAAGAGATTGAGGTTGTTAGCAATTACAGTTTGCTGAGATCCACAATCAACACCCTTAACACCTGCAGTTAGGAAATCAAAAGACGAATTTCATGGGGAAAATTCACTGTCATGGACCTCTTCAGAGTGCTGAAGAGCAACGGTGTCAGTCTACATACAAAGGTGCACCTAAGCCAGTCTTACCAGTTACTTATGTTTCAGAGAGTAGGACAATGACTAAGGATTACAGAATAAATGCTTTTGAGTTTTGGTGCTGGAGAAAAGACTAGAATGTACTACGGACTACCAAGAAAACAAATTGGTCTTTCTTGGAGAGGGTGAAACCAAGTCTTTCCTTGGAGGCTAGGATTTTGAAGCTCTGCCTCACTTACTTTGGACATGTGGCCAGGAGAGATCGGTCCTTGAAGGACATCATGCTGGGAAGGGTGAAGGGACAGTGCAGGAGAGGAAGAACCTAGATGAGATGGATTGATACACTGACTAGGGCAATCAATGGAGGTTAGTGTGTCAGAATTAGTGATACTGGTTCAGGACAGGAAAGGGTTTAGATCTCCTGTACATAGGGTCGTTATAGAGGCGACTCAACCAATAACATTCTATGACAGGTTTGGAGACAAGAGTGGCATCCTCTTCTTAAACAACACGCCTCTCTAAACTATGAACTTTGATAAAAGTCTATAGCTGTAGAGGGGCTTCAGGCCTTTTGTTCATAGGGTCACTATGAGTTATGCTCGAATTGAAGGCAATCAACAACAACAATCCTTTTACTTTCTTTCCAACTTTTGAGTTCCCATAACCAACTGTTATTAATGAATCTGACTGAATGGCCAGTTTCAGACTGCAAAAGTAGATAGAATTCCTTTATTTCATCATATTTAGCTTTAGCTGTTAGTGCATATATTTGAATAACAGTTGTATTAAACAAGTATTCCTTATACACATATGGATAGTATTATAGCTCACAGCACAGGACTTCAGGGTAGATCTTGAAATAGACTTTTTGACTATGAATGTGGCACTAATCTTCCTCAGTTTTTCATTCTCAGCATAGTTGATCATATGATTATCTGATTCAGAGAGGCCAACACCAGTCCATCTCAGCTCGCTAATGACTAGCAAGGAAATCCTGTTCAAGCTTACCCCCATCCTTGGCTATTTTACCGGTTCTCATGGAATCTTATTTTAATTCCATGAGGAATGTCTGTGTTTCATTGACTATGCAAAGGCATTTGACTGTGTGGTCCACAACAAACTGGCTGACTCTAAGAAGGATGGAAATCCCAGAACACTTGATTGTGCTAATGCAAAACCAACTTGGACCAGGAGGCAGTTGTCAGAACAGAGCAAAGAAACACTACATGATTCAAAATTGGGAAGGATGTATGTCAGCATGTGTCCTATCTCCATATCTTTTCAATCTATATGCAGAACAGATTATCTGGGAGGCTAGGCTCTATAAGGAGAAATGTGGCATCAGGATTGTTGGAAGAATCAACAATCTGCTTTATGCAGATGACAGAACCCTGCCTGCTGAAGCTGAGGAAGACCTGAAGTGCTTGCTGCAGAGGGTCAAGGATTGCAGCCTTCAATATGGATTGAAGCTCAACATCAAGAAAACAAAGATTCTTAGCACTGGGTCAATTGGCTGCATCAGGATGGATGGTAAAGAGAATGAGATTGTAAACCTCTTTCATTTACTTGGCTCCACAATCAACACTTTTGGCACCAGCAGACAGGAAATTAAAAGATGTTTCATGTTGGGAAAGTCTGCTGTCAGAGACCTCTCCAAAGTACTTAAGAGCAATGATGTCAGTCTGGAGACTAAGGTGTGTGTGCCTGATACAAGCCATGGTCTCTGCAATCACTTGTTATGCACCAGAGAGCTGGAAAATTACTAGGGTTGATAGAAGGAAATTGATGCCTTTGAACTGTGGTGTTGGAGAATAGTATTGAATATACCATGGACTGCTAAGAGAACATACAGATTCATCCTGGAGAGGGTTAAACCAGTCTGCTTCTTGGAGACAAGGATTCTGAAGATTCATCTGACATACTTTGGACATGTTGCAAGGAATGACCAGTCCTTGGAGAAGGACATCATGCTTGGGAGGGTGGAGGGACAGTGCTAGAGAGGAAGACCCTCGATGAGATGGATTGATTCAGTGACTGGGGTAATTGTGGTAGGTGTATAGAGACAATAAGATTGGCACAGGATAGAGCAGGATTTAGGGCTGTTGTACATAGGGTTGCAATGAGTCACAGGTGATTTGACGGCACATAACAACAAAATGGAATCTGTGTAATAATGAGCTCAAATATGAGGATGACACAGGACAGGGCAAAGCTCAGAGCTATTGTTCACAGGGTTATGAGTTATAGTCAACTCAATGGCACCTAACAACAACTGCATGGAATCTGCCATGTGTCCCCTCTTGCCCCCATGACTGGAACCCAGCTGCATCATCCTGCACTTGCCTCAGGACCCAGAGGAAAACCCTAAACATGCTCTACCTTCTAGCCTTCCAGACCAGCTGTAGTCCCCCAAACAGCTCACACTTGGCTAAGAATGTGTCTCTAAGGATGAAAGGAAATCCTTGTCTCTTTAAGGTCTGTGCCATCCAGAGTGTGGTGACAAAGGCTGTGAAGGCCCCAGTGCGGACCAGTGCTTGAGCTGCGTGCACTTCAGCCTGGGGAACTCAAAGATTGGCAGGTAAGGGTGGTGGGGCTTCCTCTGAGGGCCCTGTCCTACTGAATTGCCCTGTCCCCTGGCAGAGTAGAGGAACTGATGGGACAGGACTTCCTCTGCATGTGTGGACCTCACAGAGGAGCCCCATCCCCAGGCATGGAAGAAGGGCTGGGAGTGGGGAGTGGACTTCTGTTCACAGTTTTGGAAGCTGAGATCCAGATCAGAGTGGCTGTCAGTTTCTCCTGAGAGCTTCAAAGGTGGCTCCTGCCTTCTGGTGATGCAAGCAACCCCTCGCGTTCACTTGCTGCTACATCTTTACATGGTCCTTTCCCTTGTGTGCATGCCTGTGTCTCTGCCAATCCCCCTGTATAAAACATCACACGGAAGGGACTAGCATTAGTACCCACTGCACCCATTCCAGTATGACTTTGTTAACTGACACCATTCACAAGAAAAGCCAGGAGGAAGACTTTCAGCACAGCTTTTGGGGGACACAAAACTGGGGTTATATTGCACAGGCCAGGGTCATTTTAGGGTCTCAGCCCCTTTCTCCTTGCTTTCCAAGTGGATGGCATGGTTTTACCCTATTTGATTTCCTAACAACATCAAGACGATGGTACTTGACCGTCTGGAGAGCTCTATCATGAGCTTCACTGCAGGCACGCTCCAGAGACAACAAGCCCACCCCACCCCACCCCCGGAGCTGAGGGCACATGGCTCTTCTGAATGTCCTTGTGCCCAGGCCTGTGCTCTGGCCCCTGGAGCACTACTCAGCTTGGTCACACCCACTTTCTTCCACCTTCCTGGCAAGTTCTCCCCTTTGCCAGCCTACTGCTGTGCTGTCCATTCACACCCTCTTGGGGACATGCCATCCACTGCCCCATATAGCTTGTGGGGCTCAGATGATAGGCAATATACTGCCTGGTTGTCCAGGAGGCCTGGCAGATTCACCCCCAAGCCTTCCTCTGCCCCAGCCTGGCACTGACACTTCTTCCCAGCCACAGCCATACTGGGAACCCTGAACAAGGGTTCATCTATTCCATCGCAACCCTGAACCCAGCTTTATCCATCCCATCTGATAGGGGAGTTCTCTTCTTGGTTCTCATTGGATGACTACTTGGCTGCAACTTGACTAATGCTCCAAACACCTCACCCTGGTGCTTTGTCCTGAACAGCACTCAGGACAACCCCAAAAAGCAATGGTTAAGGCATGTTGGTGCCTGGTGGAGGAGTGTGGCCTGTCTCAAGGCCTGCGGAGTTCCTGGACATACCTGTACGGAACCAGGAGAATGAGTGTGGCCAATGCTTCTCCCCAAGAGGCTGTCTAAGCAGAGGTTCTGGGAGTCACATGACACTGAAGACAGCAGCATTAGGCCCTCCCTATGAGGCAGCTGTGTCCCCTGAGCCCCCAGCTGTGCCCTTGCAACTACAGAGCAGACACCGGCTTCAGTTGTCTGGAACTCATCCCAGAGCCTTTGTCCTCTGTGGCTTTGCTGATCCAGGGTGGGCTCTGAAGGCTGCAGGGCCTGTCAAGCGGTCTGGCCTCCCTTAGTCTGGCCCAGGGTAGCTGGCAGGTGGGCAACAGCAGGTGGCGGGCTGAGCTGACCAGCCTCATGGCCCTGTCTCTATAGGAAGTGTGTGAGCACCTGCCCCCTGGGCTACTTCGGGGACACCTTGGCGAGGCGCTGCCGCCGCTGTTACAAGGGCTGTGAGTCCTGCTCTGGCCGAGCCCCCACCCAGTGCCTGTCCTGCCGTCATGGCTTCTTCCACCACCAGGAGAAGGGGGCCTGCATGAGCTCGTGTCCCATGGGGTTTTACGCTGATCAAAGTAAGTGCAGGCCAATGAGAATTGCAAGGGGAATGGGTGTCCTCTGTACCCTGCCACCTGGCATGGAGAGGGCGTCATGCAGGGGAGGGACCTGACTGGCCAAATGGTGCTGGGGGCAAATTGTGCATGAACCTAGGCTGAACAGCTCGCTGCATGCCAGGCTGGCAAGGGAACACCTCAACGCAAAGAAGGCGAGGGCAGGTTATGCTCGAGGCACATAAAGTGGGCACTCCCTGTGCTGCCATCTGTAAGTCCTTCCTTCTCATTGTGGCTTGGAGAACAGGCCTGTGCAGTGAGGGGATCCAGGGCAAGCTGGATCAGGACTGGGACAGGAACAGCCCTCCAAGGAGCGGCTGCTGGCCTGAAGCTGGGATTCACATGCAGGTGGACATTTACCATCCTGCACAAAGAGGATGGCCCCTGCCTTGTGCTGGGCTCAGACCCCTTACCTTGGTCTCCGACCTGTGGAGACTCCATGTGTCAGGTGAGCTGTGCCCTGACGGTTCCCAGTGGCATATTTTCTTTCTTCAGAGGTAGCTATGAGTGGACTTGAGCCTTATTTCTACCACCAGGATGGTTCATTATGAGAGGTACTTTTCAGACAGCAATAAAGTAGCCTGACCATGTCTCTGAGGGGGGAATGATTTGTTCCTGTTCTTACAGACTGGATTAAAGTGCAGATAGGACCAGAGGGCCACCACCTGTCACAGCAGGGATGGACTGGACTCAGAGCAACTGCCCACCCCCAGCACATTGGCTTCCCACTTACCTAGCCCAAGACACTAGTGTCTGACCAGGTTAGCTGGCACTGGATGGGTTACAATGCAGCATTTTGGTGACCATAATGGAGGGTAGCTTTCAAACAGCTGTGGAGAAGTGAGTGCTGTGATGTCCTTCACAGAGCACGTAGTGGGTCTGGCCCTCAGGCTCTAGCAAGCAGGAGGCATCCTGTGCAGAAGGGACCATAATACTTTAAAGGCAGATGAAGCCACTAAGTAACTGGCATCTCTGAGGGAAAAGGCATAGTCATCCAGGTCTACTTCACTGCCTTGTACGTGCTGACCTGGGCTAACAGCTGTTCATGGACTCCAGCATTTCCAGTTCTTCCCAAGGCAGAGCGAGCCACATCCCTTACCCACCACCCTACCTGGGTGCCTGCTGCCTGCAGGTATGGGCAGGACCTGAAAGACATGGCCTTTCACTCCCAGACCTGGGCCAGTCTCTGTGGGAGGTGAGACTTCATGGGCCCTTGTCACTCAGTAGTCAAACAGGGCAGGAGTGCATGTGAGTGAGAGAGGGCATAACCCATCCATGTGATGGGAGCTCTGATTGCCCAGAATTCTTCCCAACGAATGGGGAGTTGTCATCACTTCAGGGAGAGATGGCCTACCCTGTCACTTTGATCAAGATTTGTACCTGATTAATCTCCCATCACAGATATGTCTTGGAGAAAGTGAAGCCAGAGTGCTCCATGGAGGCAAGGAAGAAGCTTGATCTCACATACTTTGGGCGTGTTCCTAGGAGAGACTTCTCCTTGGAAAGGTAGAGAGTGAACAAAGGACCTCCAAAGACACAGATTGGCACAGTGACTGCAGCAGTGGACTCAAGTGTGTCAGAGATGATAAGAATGGCACAGAGCAGGACAGGGTTCAGGTCAGCTTTTCATATGGTCATGAGGAGTCGTACCTGACTCCATGGCAACCTAACAGCATCACCCATCCCCCAGCTGGTCTGCCTGGTGTTGAAATAAGCAGAACCAGGGAAGATACTATGGAAAGAGCCCACCTCCTAAGCCTAGAGTTTGCTGGAAAATGTTTATGTACCCCAGAAGGAGAGAAGAGTGGCTCCAAGATCCCCTACGTGGGTACACTGTTCTCAGTATGGTCTGTAGCTCTTGTTAGTTCAGTTCAGTTCTGTCTTGGAGAAAGTGCAGTCATGGTCCTCTTAGAGATAAGGATGGGGAAGATTTGTTTCAGAAGGGTCAGTCCTTTGATAAAGGCATCATGCTGGGAAAGGTGGAAGATTGGGAAAAGAGAGGAGGATCCAAAGATTTTCAATAAGATGTGTTGACTTATGACTGTAACCATGGGCTCTAGCTGCTCAGAGATGGTCAGGATGGCATAGGACAAGGCAAGGTTCAGATCTGTTGTTTGTATGGTCATGATGAGTAGTCAGTTTGATGGTTCCAGAGGCCACCAGCTGTCCTGGAGACCTGGAGACACATAACACTGCTGTCTTGTTTGCCCCTACCATTTTCTTCATCATGCTGTTTTTCTCTAGGTCAGAAAAACTGCCTTAAATGCCACCCAAGCTGTAAAAAGTGCCTTGATGAGCCAGAAAAATGTACTGTCTGTAAAGAAGGATTCAGGTAAGATTCCCCTACAAACCAGAAGCAGGCCAAAAGGTTTGTACCCTTTGGGGACATTTTTATGTTATGTTTGGAATCTGTGGAATATTTGCATCTTTTTTTTATATTTTGGAGATACAAATCCTTTCAGGATAAAAATTCTGTATCTGTTAAATCATGTTTCTACTTAAAGATTATTGTTGTTTAAGGGGCAAAGTTAGAAGATAATGAAAATTTCTAGACTTAATACAACATTTAGAAAATGGGTAGAAGCATAAGTTTATGGTATAATAACGTAGAACTTAGCACAGAAAGGAAAAGTATCCTCATGTCTCCCTGAGAAAGACCCAGCACTTCCCCTCCTTCACAGCCTCCACTCCCATTGCCAATTTCCTTTTTCTGGCATCTCCCTCCAGCTGCAGTTGCTTCCTCTCTAAGGAACCACCACCAAACTCAGCACATTTTTCCTTTAAAAGCATCTTTCTGAGAGTGGTTTGTATTGTTTTTGTTATTGTTGAAAGAAATGACCCATCTTTCCTCTGCAGAGCAGCTGGTGCATTTAAAGCCCTTGGAGTTGCAATGCAGCTATTGGAATAGCTTCAAATGTTTACCTAGTCCATGAATACACTCAAATATACAACACTCTTTCCTCAAGGTTACTATGTAGAAACCACTTTGTTAAAAACAATGCTGAAAACATGCCACCATGTAGAAGAAGCAGGTCTCTCTGTTAAGGAAGAGAGGGTCTTCTAAAGCATGATGTGCCAGGAACCCACAGGCTCTTGTGAAAAAGCAGCTGGTTCTGACTAGTGCACCTGGTGGGGTAAGCACCTTGTATCCATGGCTCTGAGGGGACAAATTGGTGCTTGTCTAGTATCACCTGTGTATAGGTGGCCCTGTAGGACTTCAGTCCACCCCACATTGCTGGATCTGAGCCACAAAAGAAGAGTGGGGTTTTAGAGGGAGGAAGGGAAAGATGCTCTTATTCCTGGTGCTTCCAGTAATGTCATCTTGCTTAATCTTCACAATGATCAATAAAGTAAATACTATCATTACACACACTTTCCAAACAGCAAGAAAACATCACTGCTTTGTAGGGAGCACACACTGTTGATGCCATTATGGCCTCAGGTGGGTGGCATATACAAGGTTTATACACTAGACAAAGAAATGAATCATAATCCAGGGAAAGCTGTTCCTGCCTCAGGAATGTTGCCTGGATCTTACAGAACTGGGGAAAAGAGTGTCCACAGACCTGGAGTCTGTAGAAAGGATAGGCCCAGAGCCCCCCAAGCTGTTCAGCAGATATACTGGCATTTTCACTCTTTAGCTGGACAAGGAAGGATTAGGAGTGATGGATGCACTTATTAGAAAACATTTCAGGATGAATGCTCTCATTTCTTCATGAAAGAAGCAGAAAGGGCACTGCAACTGGCAGGGGTGGCTTCTTGAGGGGCCTTGGCCAACCAGGATGCCACCTCCTGTTCTAACCTTCCACTCTGGGTAGAAACTAAAAGACTCAGGAAGAGTTAACCTCTAGACACCATTTCCAGGGAACCCTTCTCTGCTAGCTGGCAAGGTGAGATCAGAGGCCTCCAGGCAGGGAGGAAAAGCTCTTTGTCAGGGGCCACACAGGGAGAAGCGATAGGTCTAAGCAAGGACTAGCTTCCAGGGAAATGAGCAAAAAAACTTTCTTTTGTTACTTAATGTCCTGTGAGCTGTGGCTCCAACTCACTGTCATATTAAAGCAAATGAGCGCACTGCTGCCTGCTGGCCATCCTACTCCTTCCAGGGCTACGGGCAGGAAGGTTTCAGGAGGACACAGTGCAGGCATGATTTAACTTGTGCACAGAAGCCCCAGTGTTTAGTGGGCGAGGGTATGGGTTCACCTCCACACAGAGGGCTTGTGGACTACCTTCCCAGCCTACAGCATAAATGTCCTTACCCTCCATGTAGGTGATTAGGTACAATGGATGGAGGGTTTCAGCTGCCAGACTCTTGGTTCATGGTTGAGCACTTTTTTTTTTACATTGTTTTAGCTTTATTTCCTCCATCATCATACTTTTTTTGGGTCTCCTTTGTTTCTCTCTTTTGGTGATTTATTCAACTTTTCTCAAAATCTTGTATTTTTTCACAGTAGCAGTCTTCCTCAGGATCTCTGGTGGTCTAGGGGGTAAGGAATTATGCTTTCAACCCAGAGGCAAGTGATTTGAATCCACCAGTAGAATGATAGGCAATCTCTTCTATGCAATTCACAGCCTACGTAAACCTGCTGCAAGGTCAACCATACATCACTTCCAACTTCCCAGCAGGGAGCTGAGTTGTTTTCCTCCTAATACTTTTAAAAAATATGGAACGCTTCACGAATTTGCGTGTCATCCTTGTGCAAGGGCCATGCTAATCTTCTCTGTATCGTTCCAATTTTAGTATATGTGCTGCCGAAGTGAGCACATGGTTGAGCACTGTAATTGCAGCATTGCCAGCACTCTGTGAGAGAAGGCTGCGGTAGTCCACTTCCAGAAACCTCACCACCTTGCACACTCTACAGGACAATACTTCTTGGTGCTGTGGGGTCTCAAGAAGTCAAAATTGACTCAAGAACAGTTTTGGTGGGGTTTTGGTTACTTCTTTTTAAAATTATACACAGTTAGTACTGTTTTAGCCATAGGCGATAGGTTCCAAAACCCCTGCCACAAGCCTCAAAGCACAAAGAATACTGATTCATATACATACTCTGGTTTTTCCTTCACATATGTGTAACTGCTGTTGTGGTGGTGGTGATTGTTGTTGTTGTTGTTGATGTTAAGTGCCACCAAGTCATAGATGACTCATACTAACCCTATGAACAAAAGACCTGAACACTTGTATTACTTTCATCGTTTCTCCAAGTTCATAGATTTTCCAGAGACAATCTATTTTAGAAGTAGATGCCACTCCTGCTTCCAAGCTTATTTTAATCCAAGAGTTCCACAAACACTGTCCACCATGGGTAGCCATTATCACATTTGACACATCAGTGTCACAGTGTTTAGCGTCACAATGTTTAGCATCTCAGCAACCAAGAGTTACCTCTGTAGCAAATGGACAGACCAGTGCTATACCACTTAGAAGAATGTTTGACCAAAAACAGTTAAAACCAGGCCTGAGGGCCACAGATTAAAATCATCCATCTTTGGCTTGGTAGCATCACTTTCTGCCCACTAGGCCTACTGAGATTTCTCTGTTTTTGTTGTTGTTGTTAGGTGCCATCGAGTCATAGATGACTCATAGTGACCCTATATGTAACTACGATAATATTTAATTCATGAATTAGGCACAGCAGACCAGCAGAAACTCTGACCTGGCTGGGCCCCTCAATTCCAGTCTTCTCTAGGTTGGCAGAAACACTTTCCCAGGTGAGCTAGTCTGGGCTCTGTTTCCCATAGCATGCATGTTTGTCTTATGATGCCAGTATGCTGCCTTTTTATGGTTTGGTTTTGTGGGGACAGCACTTATCTGGAAATTTGCTATACTGAGTGACTTGTATTTTGTTGGGATGTTCGAAGCTACACTACCCATATTTCAATTACTAGCAGAGTGACCCAAGACAGATAAGTTTAAGTGAAGCTTCCAGACTAAGAACCAGGATTAGCCGTCTGCTTCTGAAATAACAGGCCTTTGAGAAACCTTATGAATAACAGAGAAACATTCTCAGAAGCAGAACCTCTCAGATTGGAAGGCATTAAAAACAAGAGAAACACCTTCAAACATTCATTAATAATTGGATCATAGAATATATGAAGTATGACTCTAAGAAAATTAGAGGGTCTCAAAACTGAAATGGAGCACATAATGATCGACATCCTAAGCATTAGTGACCTGTATGGTTTAATATCAGGGAACCTTAGCATCAGCATTGTATCCTTTTTCCATACCTATTCAGTCTGTATGCTGAGCAAGGGATAAAATTATTTCATTTTGTACAATCAGTGACTTATTTATTGCAAATACTTTTTTAAAAAAACAAGCAACAGCAAAAAGAACTCAACTAAAAGATAACAATAAAACCATGCTTCTCAATAATTGCACTGAATGTAAATGGTTTAAATGCACCAGTGAAGAGAAAAAGAGTAGCATATTGGATTATAAAAAACAAAACAAACAAACAAAAAACTCCATCAATATGCTATCTACAAGAGACACATCTGAAAAGTGAAGAAAAGGAAGACTGAAAATAAAAAGGTGGAAAAAACATACTAAGCATATGGCAACAAGAAAAAAGCATGAGTAGCAATATTAATCTCTCATAAACAGATTTCAGTGTAAAAACCATCACAAAGGACAAAGAAGATCACTATATAATGCTTAAATGGTCAATATAATGAGAGGAAATATCCATAATAAGTATGTGTGGACCAAATAATAGAGCTACAAAATACAGAAAGCAAATCTTAACAGACCTGAAAAAAAGAAATAGACACCACCACAACACAGTAGTAGTTGGAGATTTTAATATACCACTCTCAAGAAAAAATAGAAATACCAGAAAGAAACTCAAAAAAGATGCAGAAGAAATAAACCACACAATCAATCAACTTGATCTCATATACAGGCCAGTGCACCCCAAAAAAGCTTAATATACATTCTTCTCCAACATGAATGGAAAATTCTCCAGAATAGATCATATTTTAGGTCACTAAAAGCTTCAATAAATTTAGAAAACAGAAATAATGCAAATCAATTTCTCAGCGCACAATGCTACGAAAATAGAAATCAATAACAAGAGGATAAAAGAGAGGGGAAAACCGTATATTTGAAAGCTGAATAACACCCTGCTTAAACTTGAGTGGCTTAAAAGAAAAAACAAAAATTTAATTAAAAAATTTCTTGAAACAAATGACTGTGAAAACTAACTTACCAAAACTTCTGGGAAATAGCCAAAGCAGTAGTAATCAGAGGTCAGTTTATAGCAATAGGAAAACAAATCAAAAGGGGAGATAGATTCTTTAGCCGAACACCTCCAACAAGTTGGAAAAGAAAAG